GTATAATATTATATTTGCCTAGCAACTATTATCAAAAAGGTGTTAGTTTCATGAACTTAGAACTTAGTCTGTTTTCTACTGCTCTATCACTGACAACAAATGAACCTGCATGTTTTTTATAAGCTCTAACTGCTCAAAACGCTTACTAAGGCGAATACGGTGTTCAGTGTTAAAATTATTCATTATTGAAATCACATATCTCCGGAGTGTATATTTCAGAAGATAGAAACAGGTGTTAATCAGAATGTGTATTTTAAGGAATAGTTATTTTAACAGTTTATCAAATATGTGTGGATCAATATGAGACTCCAAGAAAGCTATTTAATGTGGCCATACACAATACTGCCTTTGTGATTTTCCAACAGGCAAGAGAAATCCTTCAAGAAACATTGATTACTGCTGTTTTTTCTACAGATTCTGATATTAAGCATGGATCAGTGAACAAAAACTGTGTTAGTGCTTGGCGTCCAACGTATAAGACAAATCAGGCAGTTTTGATGTGGGCAGACATTGTGAATAACCTTATCTTGAATGAACTAAACAAGCTCTTTGCTTGTGACATTTAATACATCTTCTGATATGTGCTTGTGGTATTGATTAGTCCATTTGATTCCTAGGTCTAAATCTTTGTATTGATCACTTTCCAAAAGGGATTATTTGCCTTGGTCAGTCATATCCTTTAATGAAAATGTTGATGCATTTTGGTGTTAATTAAATGGTAGGTTTTAGGAATGCAGATGTATGATTTGTTTGTTTGTTGTTTAACGCTGCACTCAGCAATATTCCAGCTATATGATGGCAGTCTGTAAATAATCAAGTCTGGACCAGACAATCCTGTGGTTGACATCATGAGCATCATTCCACACAATTGGGATACGATGACATGCATCAACCAAGTCAGCGAGCCTGGCCACCCGATCTCTTTAGTCCCCTCTTACGACAAGCATAGTCGCCTTTTACAGCAGCATGGGTTGCTGAAGACCTATTCTACCTCGGATCTTCACGGTGCAGATGTATGAGAGAAGGATAATCTTCCATATTTGTCCTCTCTGGGTATTCTGTGTTATATCCGTCCACTGATGCTTTGAAGATCGGATTTTGATACTTTGTCAGAATTGTAAACTAACTTTACTTTGAGTTTTCCAGCAACATTAAGCTGACATGCCATGATATAACTGAAAAACTGTTAAAAGCAGCATGGAGAACCTAACTCGTCCCAATATCATTGCCACTATTGGATTTTTGTTAAAGTTTAAAGCTTGTTCTCGAGTGTTCAAAGAACAAGTAACTCCCAGGGCGAGACTCAAGTTATTGGTGCTATTTGTGGTGGCAGATGACTTCCAACAAGTCACTGCTAAAACTAATAACAAAGCTCCAAGGTAACTGATTCATTTTTTAAGGAGTTAGCACACATGGCATTTTGGTCATGCAATAAAACATGTTGGTGACTGTCATTGTAAGATGGAAGAAAGCAATCAAACAGATTTCTGCAGTAGTCCTCAGGATCAACATGATTTGTTGGAAAATTAATTATTTAAACTCTTTGACGTATTTTAAGGAATAGTTTAGTCTGAGAATTTTGTCAACATCCACTAATCCATGTAGTTAGTTATAGTACTCTGAGGAAGAAACAAATTCTGTTGTGACACATTCATGTCACATGATGCTACAGGTCTATTGAAAACATTCTGTGACGTCATTCTTTTGCTTGAACACTCCATTATTTTTTAGGAATTGACAGTTATTTGTCAATTATACATTATCTTGAACCAACATTTCAATTAATTTTACTTGGAATAGGCGGAACTATTTTTTTTCTTATTTTGACAAGTGAATGATTTCAAATTTTGTCGGAAAACGTGTGTCGCCAGCGGGGTTCAAACTTGCATTGTTTGATTAGAAGACGTCTAATTGTGGTCCACAGCTATGGCGTCACATGGTGATACCATGTGAAATTAACTATTAAGTATTTTTAAATATTTGCAAAAATCCTTAAAGCTCAAATATAATATGTATTAAAGAGCTGACTTTCACTGTGAGTTCATTAGTTTGAGAGCAAAGCGGTATGATCATCAGAGCTTGCGACAAATAAATGCGATTGATGAAATACTAGTCTAGGACCCCACGACATTATAAAGACCTGTGTACCATGCATTGTAAATATCAGCACGTGACAGAGCTTGGTGCACGTGCAACAGCGGCACAGAACACGTTCCTCGCACCTCATGCAGGGGCAACTCACACAGTATACATACACTCTACAAAGAGTGCCGGTGTATTTTTTAAATATATTCCACAAGAGAATGTTTGGCAAATGTAAAAGTAGGGCTGTGTTTTAAGTAGGGGCATATCTTCTTAATTCTCCATTCCTTAATAATGATGGGCCTCATCTCCATTACTTTTGGAGAGTTACTGGGACATTCCTCTCTTCAGCACTTTTATTGGGTGTAACTCTTTTTTTATTTTTTTTATTTTCACACTTTATTCATCATTTATTGGGTGTAACTTGATGAAAACATTTAAATCAAGAACTGATGCAAAATATCTTTCAAGAATGTGATTTAATTCTCACTTAATAAATATTCATTGTGTCACTTCATCTGTCCATTACAGGTTGTTGGAGACAGTCTGAGCTCAATGCCCGTCCATTATAAACTTCCAGTAATGTTTTATACGGAATAGTAAAGCCAATTTGTTTCACAGCGTTTATGACCATATTGGCGAACATACTTATAATTTTAACTTTCATTGTGATCACAGTGCATCTAGAAGGACTTCAAGAACAGAAAACTGTCAAGTTCCTTCACTCAATCAAAAGTTAAATATCTTCCTTCTCCAGTGGGCGATTTAATTGCTCTTTCATAGTATAACACAAGAGTGTTTGAGAGGCTAAGTATTTAATGTTTTCGAATGTTGGTTCACAGTGGCACTTGTAAGTTTTACCAGTGTCACAGACATGTGCAGTGAGACAAGATGGTGGTGTGACCCCAATCTGACCCTGCTGTTGCAAACATGAGCTACAGGTCTCCCAGGAACATGGTGTCAGGAGCTGACGTATACCAGGCACTGCTGGGAGCTCATGGTGTAATATCCAGTTAGGATTAGGACACATTATTGTCAGTGTCAGAAATGTTGGCCCTTTCTGAAGTTTCCAGATGGGTTATGACGTCTGCTGGTGCTCCGGGGAGCTCTGGCCATCACAACATGTTCCGCTGAGTGCAGCTTAGTGCTCTGTCACAGGCAGCATTGTGGATACATTGACAGGGACTGCTATTATCTTCAGGATAGCTGGAACCCAAAGGATTGGATAAAGTATAAATATTAGCATTTAGTGTGTAGGAATATGGCTTTGATAGATGGACAAAGGTTCTTCTATGTCAAGATGCTAAACTTAACTATCAGTGTCTCCTGTTGCTTTTTTTCCCTTCAGCATCGAACACTTCCTGTTTTGAATGATGGGGTAGCTGAGTGGTTAAAGCGTTCGCTTGTCATGCCGAAGACCTGGGTTCGATTCCTCACATGGGTACAATGTGTGAAGCCAATTTCTGGTGTCCGTTGCCTTGATATTGCTAGAATATTGCTCAAAGTGGCATAAAACCAAATGTCTGCATAATCATATATACAGTATGTGCACAGTGTTCTAACTCAAACTTTTGGAACTTCAAACTGTAAAAGTTCCCCAGGTGACATTATAAAGAAACATGGGACCACCTTGATTCTATCCTGGCCCAGTTGGTCCGGTAACTTCCTTCCTTTGATCTATTGCCTGCTGCTTGTTTACCTCACTGGAGGCTACAAAAACCTGCTCTTTTTCTAAAAGAAAAACGAGAAACGAAGGAAATTGATGGAGACTTGCCGACTTCCCGTCTAAGGAACTATTTTGTCGGCGTGGGCGCACCTGGTGAACCAGTGTCAGACAATGTAGATGGATTACTGCCTGTTTCGACCTGATTTGTTACCCAGACGACTGTCACACTGCCCAAAGTGCTCACTCTTACTTAATTTCACAGAATGTTTTCTGCACCCTTTTTTTCATCCAGTTTTCAGTCTGGGTGACAACTGGACAGATCCAGATCCAGATGCTTTTGTGAAAGATCAAGTTTAGAATTTCAGAAAAGAAATGTTTCTTCCCTCCCAGCAGAGGTCTGCAACTCTGAGTGACTGTTTGTGATTAATATTGAAATGCATTTAGCTTGTGGCATCTTCACCAGGAGTCACCAAGAATGTTTGTTGTAGATGATGTAGCAAAAATTGAATTTCATCCTGAAAGTTGTTTATCAAATTGGCTTAAAAGATGCTTGTCACCTTTTGAGACCTCGACTTTATGAAATTGAAATTTTTATGCCAGTAGATTTACAGTTGCAAAACTGTTCCTATGAATAGGTTTTTAGATTGTGTGTTGATAAATCGAACTCAACCTATGTATGATAGATACCCTGATAGTTGAAGTAGAGACAATTCATGCCTTGCTTGACAACAGTATAAGGGTCTGTACCAAAATGTCACCTTTACAGTATTAAGGAAGTTGTTATCCATAAATTGTGTCTACTTCATCCGTCAACTTCTAAGTGATGCCTATCAAACAGTTCCCCTGGTAGTTGGTACAGAGGTTCTGTTTGGCTTTTTCTGTCCTTTTGTGACCAATTTGATATAGGTGAACTTCAGAATAGGTGTATATTATGGACAGGGTCAAATGTTTTCCATTTTTGTGTGTAAAGTTGCATGGCAGATTCAGTGTCAGATATACATCTTTCAATTTCAATTCACCCAGATAAATATGTGACTTCTGATCTCCCTTCCAGAATGTCCTGGATCCATCCTTCAGCTGATCCTGATGGTTCATGTTACTGTGTCCTTGGCTATTCTTGGCCATTGACCTATCTCATAAGGGATGTTTGGGGATATCTAAGTGGCGGCTGTAGGAAATGCTACATGATAATAGAATAGTAACATAGGACTAATCGAATCTTGCTGCTAATTCACCTTGTCTTGACTTGCAGGAAGACTGCCCAGATGGACAACTGTCAAAGGAGAAGTTCAAGAATGTCTATGCCAACTTCTTCCCGGGAGGAAATCCAGATGCCTTTTGTGAGCATGTGTTCCGGTCGTTTGACCGTGATGGAAGTGGGTCAATAGAATTCAAGGAGTTTCTAATGGCGATCAACATCACATCACAGAAAGGCAAAGCAGAGGACAAACTCAACTGGGCTTTTGACATGTACGACATTGATGGGAATGGAACCATTGAAAAGAACGAGATGGAGAGCATTATAGAGGTAAGGTGAACACCATGTATAGAATGGCTGACGTGGATGTGAGAGGTGGATGTTATGCAGGGTGATGTGGGTATATAGCAGGGGTGAGTTGGATATATGGCAGGTGAGGTGGGTATATAGCAGTGAGGTGGATATATAGCAGGGGTGAGCTGGATATATAGCAGGGTGAGGTGGGTGTATAGCAGGAGTGAGGTGGGTATATAGCAGGGGGGAGCTGGATATATGGCAGGGTGAGGTGGATATATAGCAAGAGTGAGCTGGATATATGGCAGGGGTGAGCTGGATATATAGCAGGGTGAGGTGGATATATGGCAGGGTGAGGTGGATATATAGCAAGTGTGAGGTGGATATATGGCAGGGTGAGGTGGGTATATAGCAGGGGTGAGGTGGATATATAACAGGGTGAGGTGGGTATATAGCAGGGTTGTGGTGTGTATATAGCAGGAGTGAGGTGGGTATATAGCAGGAGTGAGATAGCAGGTATATAGCGGGGTTGAGATGGGTATATACCATGGGTGAGGTGGAAATATGACAAGGTGAGGTGGATATATATCAGGAGTGAGGTATATACCATCAGTGAGGTGAATATGTAGCAGAGGTGAGGCAGATATATATAAGAGGTGAGGTGGATATATATTGGGTGAGATGGATATAGAGCAGAGGTTGGGTGAATATATATCAGGAGTGAGTTGGATACATGTCAGGGTGAGGTTGATCTATATCAGGGGAGAGGTGAAAATACAGCAGAGGTGGCATGGATATATATCAGGGGTGAAGTGAAAATATAGCAGTGGTGGCATGGATATATATCGGGTGAGGTGAAAATACAGCAGAGGTGGCATGGATATATATCAGGGGTGAAGTGAAAATATAGCAGTGGTGGCATGGATATATATCAGGGGTGAGGCAGATACATATTAGAAGTGACCTGATGTCAGAGTGAGGTGGATATATAGCAGGTGAGGCAGATATATATAAGAGATATATATCAGGAATGAGGTTGACATATAGCAGCATATATTGTTGACCAGAACAGTCGACCACACTGAAACACCAGCATGAGTGGAAGTTAATCATGTGTCCATATGTGGGACAATTCTTTTGTGTTATGACCCATCAATATCATCGGTCATGAAATCACCATCACAGATGCGGACTTTTTATTAAATAGACAGGATATATTTGTTATAATGGCATTGCCAGTTATCGCAGGGACATTGATGGCAAGTCATAGAGATAAGATGTATGGCCAGTGCAGAAAAAGGCCCTCTTGACTGACACCGGTGCCACTTAGTGACATAATTTGTGTCATCTGAGATGCAAAGGCAGGGAGCAACACCAGTTATTTTAGTTCCACTAGTAAAGTCTAGACAGTGAATAACCATGGATGCCAGGATATCGGGAGCTGTAGACAAAGGTCGCTCGCCATGATCCCCTCCTGTCAGCAACACAGGATATTTGCTTATGTAGATCTGCCTGTTTTGGTACTGGAGGAAGTTAAACTGTTAATGGGTGACATGATTGGGTGTAGGTCCAGTGTTACACATGTGTCAGCATGCCCAGTGCCCTGTGTCACACGATAGAAAAGCGTATCCCAACTATCATTTACATGGTTTTAGGGCTGGCTATTGATGCAGATCATAGAGATCGATAATCATTAACAAAATATTGATCAATTATCAATAAATATATAAGTAACTTTGAGCAAATGCACAAAAGAGTCTGCGAAAATAATCCAAATATTTTACTCCACTGGTGAGTGTGGGACGTTTATGCAGGGATTACTTTGTGGACATTTGAGATTTAACAAAAACCGTTACTTTCCATCTTCAGCAATTGACATTATTGTCCGTTTTGGTAATTCTAAACTATATTTCATCAGAATAGCTTATGTAAGATATAATCAATGACACAATTTTCATACTGTTAATCGTTTATAGTTCTTCCCATCGATATGATTTCCAAATTCAGTTGATGTATTATCTCATCTCTCAATTAAATGTTGTTAGAAATCTTTCATATACATTTGTTTAAATCTAATAATGATGGGATTAATTATAAACCTGTTTTCGGTTACCACAAACATCATATGATACTTAATTTGTTCATTTAATTGTCGAATAAATCTCAGCCTTTCTCTAGAAATATTTTCTATGAGAACACCATGCTACTTTAGTTAACACAGATATAATTTGGACCGCACTGTACATCATGCATTCATATCAATTTCCATTTAGATTTCCTCTGAAAGATATCTTATCACAAATACAAGATCAAATGAACTAATTATGAAACTGACTTATCCAATGATTGCCCTATAAACTTAATCAGTTTTGACGTTAATGATATCTGTTGACATGTACTTATCAAATCACATTATGGAGTTAATGTTGGGAAACGATTATTCGTCTTGTAGGAACTGAGATGAGAGACATACATCAGCAGCAGTATACTAATATGATTATGGAAGATGATAATAATGCTTAAGCTCAGTTATGTCCGTAAATGTAAGCAATCTTTATTATTTATTTTCTCAAACTATACTTTTGGATGTTGTTCGTTCATGTTTTATGAAGACTGCACTATTAAGAGAGGGATATTCTAAGTTCTTGAGGGGGATACCAGGTCGATGTACTCTAATATCAGTTTATGTTCCTTGTACCCTGTACCCTGTACCCTCATGTCAGTTTGTGTACCCTGTACCCTCATGTCAGTTTATGTACCCTGTACCCTCATGTCACTTTATGTACCCTCATGTCAGTTTGTGTACCCTGTACCCTCATGTCAGTTTGTGTACCCTGTACCCTGTACCCTCATGTCAGTTTGTGTACCCTGTACCCTCATGTCAGATTATGTTCCCTGTACCCTGTACCCTCATGTCAGTTTATGTTCCCTGTACCCTCATGTCAGTTTATGTTCCCTGTACCCTGTGCCCTCATGTCAGATTATGTTCCCTGTACCCTGTACCCTCATGTCAGTTTATGTTCCCTGTACCCTCATGTCAGTTTATGTACCCTGTACCCTCATGTCAGTTTATGTACCCTGTACCCTCATGTCAGTTTATGTACCCTGTACCCTCATGTCAGTTTATGTTCCCTGTACCCTCATGTCAGTTTATGTACCCTGTACCCTCATGTCAGTTTATGTACCCTGTACCCTCATGTCAGTTTATGTTCCCTGTACCCTCATATCAGTTTATGTACCCTGTACCCTGTTCCCTCATGTCAGTTTGTGTTCCCTGTACCCTCATTTCAGTGTATGTACCCTGTACCCTCATGTCAGTTTATGTCCCCTGTACCCTGTACCCTCATGTCAGTTTATGTACCCTGTACCCTCATGTCAGTTTGTGTTCCCTGTACCCTCATGTCAGTTTATGTACCCTGTACCCTCGTGTCAGTTTGTGTACCCTGTACCCTGTACCCTCATGTCAGTTTGTGTACCCTGTACCATGTACCCTCATGTCACTTTATGTTCCCTGTACCCTGTACCCTCATGTCAGTTTATGTTCTCTGTACCCTCATGTCAGTTTATGTACCCTGTACCCTGTTCCCTCATGTCAGATTATGTACCCTGTACCCTCATGTCAGTTTATGTACCCTGTACCCTCATGTCAGTTTGTGTTCCCTGTACCCTCATGTCAGTTTATGTACCCTGTACCCTGTACCCTCATGTCAGTTTGTGTACCCTGTACCCTCATGTCAGATTATGTTCCCTGTACCCTGTACCCTCATGTCAGTTTATGTTCCCTGTACCCTCATGTCAGTTTGTGTTCCCTGTACCCTCATGTCAGTTTATGTTCCCTGTACCCTCATGTCAGTTTATGTACCCTGTACCCTGTTCCCTCATGTCAGATTATGTTCCCTGTACCCTGTACCCTCATGTCAGTTTATGTACCCTGTACCCTCATGTCAGTTTGTGTTCCCTGTACCCTCATGTCAGTTTATGTACCCTGTACCCTGTACCCTCATGTCAGTTTGTGTACCCTGTACCCTGTACGCTCATGTCAGATTATGTTCCCTGTACCCTGTACCCTCATGTCAGTTTATGTACCCTGTACCCTCATGTCAGTTTGTGTTCCCTGTACCCTGTACCCTCATGTCAGTTTATGTTCCCTGTACCCTCATGTCAGTTTATGTTCCCTGTACCCTGTACCCTCATGTCAGTTTATGTACCCTGTACCCTCATGTCAGTTTATGTTCCCTGTACCCTCATGTCAGTTTATGTACCCTGTACCCTGTTCCCTCATGTCAGATTATGTTCCCTGTACCCTGTACCCTCATGTCAGTTTATGTACCCTGTACCCTCATGTCAGTTTGTGTTCCCTGTACCCTGTACCCTCATGTCAGTTTATGTTCCCTGTACCCTCATGTCAGTTTATGTACCCTGTACCCTGTTCCCTCATGTCAGATTATGTTCCCTGTACCCTGTACCCTCATGTCAGATTATGTTCCCTGTACCCTGTTCCCTCATGTCAGTTTATGTACCCTGTACCCTGTTCCCTCATGTCAGATTATGTTCCCTGTACCCTGTACCCTCATGTCAGTTTATGTTCCCTGTACCCTCATGTCAGTTTATGTTCCCTGTACCCTGTACCCTCATGTCAGTTTATGTACCCTGTACCCTCATGTCAGTTTATGTTCCCTGTACCCTCATGTCAGTTTATGTACCCTGTACCCTGTTCCCTCATGTCAGATTATGTTCCCTGTACCCTGTACCCTCATGTCAGTTTATGTACCCTGTACCCTCATGTCAGTTTGTGTTCCCTGTACCCTGTACCCTCATGTCAGTTTATGTTCCCTGTACCCTCATGTCAGTTTATGTACCCTGTACCCTGTTCCCTCATGTCAGATTATGTTCCCTGTACCCTGTACCCTCATGTCAGATTATGTTCCCTGTACCCTGTTCCCTCATGTCAGTTTATGTACCCTGTACCCTGTTCCCTCATGTCAGATTGTGTTCCCTGTACCCTGTACCCTCATGTCAGTTTATGTTCCCTGTAC